GGGAGGAGAAAGGGCAGCTGTTGAAAGCACCACACTGAAAACCTTGCAGACCATTTGGCCAACACTATGGGAAAGAAAGAGTGGGCCAGGAATAGCCACAGCGTTGCGGGAAGGGAGGCTGTTAAAAGGCCAGGAGAAAGAGAGGTAGAACTTGGTCTGGGTAAGGTGCTCTCTGGAACTAGAAAACACTGAGACCTGCAGGAGGGGCTGGAAAGAGAGTGCTTCCTTACACTCTGTCAAACGTGAAGCAAACGATGGAGAAATAAACATTTAGGTTTATCACACTGATGGGAGCAAATATGTGACAGGTTGAATGTTCACAGAGATTTCCGTTTGTTGTTTCACTAGTAGGAGAATTAAATATGCATTACGTAAGTTATCTGTTATGGCAATTTGTTGTGAACTCTGTGGAGTCTCTATTCCTCGAGACGTTTAAGACCGTGGTATGTGGTTGTCTCCTGGAGACCATGTGACCACCTGATCCAACAGGATCACTCAGAATCCCTTTGCTTCTGGGTCTCTAGGCACCTTTATGGTCCTACAGCGTTTTAGCTAATGCAGTGATGTTACAATAGCATCCTTTCCAGTGGACCACTGGACGTTCTGCACATCTTGACCACTTTCTCCCTGTCGTGCTGTCCTAGCTCACCAGAGTTCCTGTGGAGTCCTGCGGTCAGTATCGGAGCTGCGGGGATTGTCTTGGCTCCGGTGATCCCCACTGCGGCTGGTGTGTGCTCCACAACACGTGAGTACTGCAGCCCCTTCCTCCTGCCTCCCACTTCCTTCCAGGCATTTCCTTCCTCCTCCTCCTCCTCTCCATCGTCACGCTCTTTTCTTTCTTGCATGCTTTGCAAACTTTATCTCCCTTTATTTGTTCTTTCTGGCTTCACTTAAAATTCTCCAATTCTCATAAGAACTATAGAGAAACGGCGGTATGGGGATGGTGACAGGTCGGGATATGAATGGCACACTGGGTAACCGCACCCTGGAGGGCCAGAGGACGGGAGGTTCCTGGACTTCCCTGAATGATCCGTCTGGAGGCTGACTTCCCAGGACTGAATCCCAGGACAAAGGCATGGGGCTATTTTCCTCAAGTTCACAAGGACCACCAAGTCCTGTGCAGGGTACATGCTGTCCGTCACGTGGTTCTGCATCCACTCAACATGATCTTTGATATCTTCACAGAATTTTCTGGCACTTGAGCATGTTATTCAAGTTTTAGCACCTGAGGACCCTGTCTCTGCTGTCATAACATCCCTTAACTGGCTGGCGATGCACTTGGACTGCAGTCATTGGGCCACTGAAGCCTGGCCCTAGTGCTGGCACCTACCTAGTGCCTCCTTTTGTATTTTATTTTTTTAAATGAACTTAGGATTGGGCGAGTCAGGCCTCACCAGCCACGTTGAAATCATGTAGAACTGTTTTACTTTATTTTAGTTGTTTTGGTGCTGGGGATGGAACCCAGGGCCTGTGCATGCCAGGCAAGCCCCCCACCACCGAGCTGTACCCCCAGCCCCTAGGTGCATCCTTTTGTTCTGGCTCCAATTCTAGAAGTGGAGAGGAGGCAGTAATATTATAGGTGGGACGTACCATACCCAGAACCAGCAGAGACAGAGAGCTGGAGGTCTTTCTGGGGACCCAGACCCTTGACATCACTACCTAGAGAAACAGCCGTAGCTGGACAGCCCCCCAACAGCGATTGGCCCCAGTCTAGCTGTTGTTGCTTTAGATCAACACCCAAAATTTCACATTTTCTGAGTTGGACACAAATATTATAAGTGAAGGAGAAGACTTTCGTCTTCCCACTGACACTGGAACTGTAGGTAACCAGTGACATTTACTGGTCACCGTGAAAAAGTGAGGAATCTCCCCACTTTGTCATATCCATCTGCCTTAAGGAGGAACACTCCCTTAAATTCTGAAAGTTAGAAATGCACTCCCAGATTCTAACACACGTTCTCTAAGGGAACAGACACCTTCCCCATCTCTGAGTGACAGTCTCAGGCACAGCGAGGCCTTGCGTTCCGTGAGGGAAGGTCTGAAATCCCTTAGGTGTGTCGTGTTAGGAAACCATGGAGACCACTGAGCTACCCTGAGGCCTACGGAAGTCAGAGACAGACCAAGGGCTGCAGGCAGGGTACTCCAAAGCTACCTGGTAACAGAGCGGGGGAGTCTAGGAGTAGCCCACTGAAAGAGGCTGGCAAGACTGCACTCAGTATGCAGGTGGGCTCCGACCCACCCAGGAGAGCTCCTTAGATGCACTTTGCAAGGGGCAGGCAGGGTATTTTCTTCATCCCACACAGGGAGGCCTCTGGAGAATGACTTGGGTTCCAACCCATTGCTTTACTGAGGGGCTTGAAGCCACCTGGCTTTTGAGGTGGATCAGCTGCTCCCCACATGGGACAGGTACCAGTCAAAGGCATTCCAAAGAACAGGCCCCTCTCCAATACTACAGTCCCATGGGACCCAAAAGCAGGTTCCATGTCAGTGTCTGCCACAGTGCTGCCCCAGCCCACATGGCACTGGACCCAAAGAGCACTACATGCTCGTAGGCTCTGAGAAAGTGGCAGAGAGACTACAAATACTCCACCTCCCATCCCTTTAACCAAGAGTGAGAAGAGAAGGTACCAGACACTCCTTCCTGTGCGGCCTTTGTTTCCTCGCCTGTCCCACACTACTGTCTCCTGTCAAGTGGCAGAAGACAAGGGTGAAGGAAGCCATCAGGCTACATCAGGGCCAGCAGCTTTATAGGAACCGAGGTCCACCACCAAATCCAAATTCCACACCCTGGTATCCATTCTCCTCGCCTGTGAACTGGAGGTGGTGATGCTTGACTTACTGAATTGCTAGAGACCTTGTAGGTGAACAGGCTGGGTGGCCATGGAGCCTCGTGAAATGTCCGGTGGGGTGGGGCAGGGAGCTTGACAGGGCTGGGGAAGGTCTGAGGGCCCAAGTGCCCTCTCTCTTTGACTTTGGTTTGCCCCGGTGATTTTCCAGATGGTTCTCCTTTAATGGCATGATTCTCTTCCTGAGGGTGACACAGTGTCAAGCTCCTTCCTCTAAACGGCGGACACCCCTGCTGGGTTCTGCTCACCTGGCATTTTGTCTTACTCTCTAGCCTGGCATTGTGTCTTATCCTGAAGGTGGCACCTGGTCGGCCTAAGCGCCAGCCAGGCTCACAGAGAATCAGGCTGCACAGGGGTTCTTCTCTTCAGGGGGTACCCAGCCCTGAGCTGCTGCTTCCAGAGCCCCTCCTCGCCCAGAAGCCACAGTAGGAGCCAGCAAGTGAAAGGGGTGGGGTGCTCTGGAAAGATTCCTGGGGTGGCCATTCTAGTTCTCACACCTTGAAAAATTGGGGGGCTTTAGGCTACTATAGTAGATCCCCATTGTATGCAGTCGCTGTGTCCTATCAAGTTCTGGGAATCTGAAGTAGCAAATATGACATCATTGCTCTTACAAGGTTTCCCGGAAGCCCCCAGTCACAACATTTTCATCAATGGATGAACACATAACTTTGTTTTATGTGTGTTTCTGTTTAGAGACAGCTGACTTAATATGCAGCATTGATTCATTAACATTGAACTTCTGACCAGCAGCATTGTAAATTCCTAGCTGGATGAAGTTCATCTAACAAGTGCATTTCCTTCATAAGTCACACCATGGCCTTCATGTGCTTAGAAACACTAGACAGCACTTTAGCACAGCACTTAGGCCATTTTAAACAGTGAAGTCGCCAAAAAAAAAAAAAAAAAAAAAAAAAAAAAAAACAAAACTTGAAAAACGTAGCACTAAATAAACCTCAATGGACACTGATGTATAATGTGAAGGCTGGGATAGAAGGCAGAGCTTCTTCCTGTTCAGCCTCAACTGGGAGCACATACATCAGGTGGCTCAAATCTTTAGCCAGTCCATGCATGTCCATAAGGAGCTCAAAAGTGCCACTAGTACTTGTTTTGGGGTCACAAATGAACGCTAATGATAAGCTGAATTTGCAAATATGGAATCTGTAAATAATGAGGATTGACCATGACTCACCAAAAAAACTCAGCACCCTCCAAAGATGGAGAACAGTGTTTCTCATGGTGGTGGCTGGAGGATAAAAGAAGGTAATGAAAGCAGTTGTGAACATCCAAGGTGCTCTGCCAGGGCAGGGCGGTGTTCTGTGTAACCTTGAACCTGCTGGTTAAGTGAACCACCTGGTGAGGGGAGACAGTGGTGTGGGGCCCCAATTCCCTGGAGAGGACACAGCTCTAGAGCCGCCTCAGGCCCAGGCGCCTGCCCTCAAGACACTCAGTAAGTCCATACTTCACCCTCCGAGAATTAGCCACCAAGAAGGTCCCTGGGTCTTCTGAGATGTTTTCAATCAAGATAGAATCTTAAGTTTTTACAGGATAAGGTACACAGATCCTAAGCTCGAACACATGCAAACACCCAGGTCACCCAGATCTAGAGCATTTCCTTCCTCCAGAAAGTTCTCTCCTGCTCCTCAGACATTGCTTCTCCTGGTCTGCCCTGCTCTCCATTTTTTTTTGGGGGGGTGGGGGGTTACAACTTAGATGTGCATGGCTGGGAGAGATGATGAGGAAGTCGACAGGCAGGAGAAGGAGAAGGCTGGGGACAAGCAGGATCACCGAGACGAGGAGCCCTGCAGACCAGAAAGGGAACAGTGTGGAAGGTGTTCTTGCTCCCTGGAGTTCCAAATCCAACACACACACACACA